GGCCTCCCAAAGTGCTGGGATTACAGGCTTGAGCCACCGCGCCCGGCAACAATGGCTAACATTTATTGAGCATTTACTATGTGCTTGGATGTTGCTCTAAATACATATGTCTTATCAAACAACCCCAACAATCTTGAATTCGTAATGATTATCAACATAATTTTACAGATGAAGAAACTGGGGCTCAGAAAAATAAAGCAATATTCTCCCCAGGTCACACAGACTGTTGGCAGAGCTGGGAGGGAATGGGGGTTGACTGTCCCCAGTATCTATGCATGAAGCCACTGTTCAAAGTCTGATAGCAAAGGTACCACATCCACCAGCAGCTCAAGAACTTAGGGAATCCGAGGAGGGTTCACACTACTGCCTGTCAGGGCTTAAAAGCCCTCCCTTTTAATAAGTTGGGGATGGCTTCTTAAAAGAAAGGAGACTCGACCTAAGCTTCAAAGCATGGGGTGATACATGGACAGATGGAAGACGCATGAAACTGGAAAATCACCGGGCCAACCATGCTTATTAGAACGAACAGGTTCTATGTGGAAGCTCTGCAGAAGAAGACCTAAAACATTGCTATCATCTAAAGGGCCCTGAATGCCACAAAGGAGTTGGGCTTCATCCACCAGTAGGCAGGATCCCACAGAAGGTTGAAACAATGTAATCAATAGCCTTGAATCCTGAAACTTGGCATTGGGAATGATGCCAGAAAAATAGGCAGAGCTACAGCTGTGAAACAAGACTCGCTCCCTAGACCCTCGACAAACATACACACCTTCTTAAGACCAGGAAACATACTGAAGCTGGTAAATCCCATTTAAAGCACTTTGCTTTCCTATGAATTCATTTGTGCTACAGGTCCTATCACGTTCCCAGTGAGCACACAGCTCATCTCTCACTATGACAAAGATAATGTATAATGCAGGTGCTTTTCCTTGTCCCACTCCACAGTGTTATGACCAGACATACTATTTTTGGTCACAGGAGCAATCCTCTACCACCTCCCGGCCCACCCAAATATCTCCATCATACCTTCTTGTTTCTCTGTTTAAACAATATCTGTTAACTCATTCCAACCCTTCTCTCTGTCACCCATTCTTAGTGGTAGGTCAGGCTCTTCCACTGCTTTTCCACCTCCCTGGCTGCTGCTCTTATATCAGAGCCCGCATTTCTGTAACAGCATCTGAATCAAAAAGAACAACCCTTGGGAATAGCACCTGGGTCACCCAGGCCAGATCTCTGGCTGGCAGCTGGATAGATGATGGCATGGTCCTGGAGAGTCTTAGAAATCCTGAAAGAAAAGCTTAGCCACATGCCTTCTGGGTGGCTGGCATTATATTACAGAAGCCAGAAACAAAACAATTTTTTTTTTTTTTTTGCTGGCTTCACACAAAAACAATTGCATAAGCAATGCAAGGACTGCCAGGTCACCAAAAGGACCAATTATAAATCTCTACTTTTCTATTAAGACAAAAATGAAGGAAAATGTGTTACCTCAAAATGTCATTAAGAGGAAGTCACTTACTAATCTCAGAGGCTCTCTCTTCTCCCCTCCCAATATTCCCTTCTTTGTTTTCCTAGTAATTAACCAAAGTCAAAACCTTCCTCACATGCTTTGGTTTCAATTCAGAAAAGTACATGAAGGCTATGATGGCTTATTACCCACAGCTGAAATGCATATGGAACTGTTCCTGTGTATTCCAACCTGCTTTCTCAAGGAAAGAATAGAATTTCTTGCCCTTGAGATTTTGGGAATTAGCAGAAAATGGACATGATTTCAGTACCTGGGAGACAATCAAATCTATGCCAGTTACAATTAGTGGAAACCAGGAGAAAGTCCTAGAAGTCCCTGAGAGTGGAAAGGACTGATATTTTCTAGCCGAAGCTGGCAGTACCTTCATGTGAGTGTTAACGAGCTTAAGTCAGGAAAAAAAGCAGAAGTTGTTAAGATGAGAATCAGTCTGTACATGTAAAGAGCTGAAGAGAACTGATGGATGTGATAATTAGCTTGATAGTGGGAATCATTTCATAATGTATGCATATATCAAATCATCACATTGTAGATTTTAAATATATATAATTTTTATTTGGCAATTAAGTCTCCATAAAGTTAGGGATTAAAAATAAAAAGCTAAAGGAGCATTTGTCTTTTCAACACAGCACCTGGGAGCCCAGGCACTCTGCAGGGCCCACAGCATCCTGGCCTTTGGGAGGGAGCAATATAATACAGGGAGGCAGACAGAGCCCTTTAACCCACTGACCTCTTTTAATCTGCTTGTTAGCCTGGCTGCAGACAGGCCCAGGGGGTCTTTGACCAATGCCTCTCTGGGGAAAGGTCAAAGGTCAGGGGCACATTCCCTCATCATCATTATTCTCAATTATTCTTCACGCAGAGCCACTTTCTCCTTGCTTTTGAGGAAGAGCTCCCATAAGCGTTTTCCAAGATGCTGAAGGGCGATGACCCAACCCATTCCCACTTTCCTCCCTCCCAGGATCTCCCTGATCAAAGGGGCTAAGATAGGATTGCAGTGAACAGAGAGGCCCCTCAGAGAGAGAACCACAGCAGTGAGCACAGACGTCTATACTACACATTCATGCAGACTCACCTCAGCAGCAGGCCCTGCAGCGCTCTAAGAGGCATCCAGTGTGTCAGACAGAGGAGTTCAAGGCACAGCCTTTACCATCAGACAAAGCAGCACTTCTACAGTTACTAGTTCTGGACTCTTGGGCAAGTCATTTAACTCTCTGAGTCTTAATTTCCTCATCTGAATGATGGGGATAATAATAGTTTTTATTTCAGAGGGTTGCAGAAAAGGTGAAATCGAATCCTGCATGTAAAGCTCAAAGTAAAGGTTCAATACATGTTAACTATTAATATGATTTTAGTAGTAATTAAAAAAAATATTTCCTTGATGATAAATGTATTATATGAGCATTGCACAAAATTTAGAATATAAGGAAAAGAATAGACCAAAAAAAAAAATCCTGGTAGCTTTCCCCCAAGTGCTTGGCACTATTAACTTTTGGGAGTGTTTCCGTTGAGGCTTTTCTCTGTGTGTGGAGAAATGCACACACTACTGGTTCATCTCGTCATCATAACAGCAGCCATTCACTGCCCACCAACTAACTGCAGAACACTGAGCTCAAATCAGATACATTTTTTCCCCTCATTTTTACTGTAATTCTGTGAGGCGCTGTAGTCTCCATTTACAATGAGAAAACCAAAGATCAAAGAGGCGAAGTAACTGGCCCACATCACAGGGCAGTAGCTCCTTTCCAGAGCTCTGGCTGCAGGTGTCTCTGACTGGACAACCTGCACTCTGTGCATTGGCACAGGCTGCCAGGGGCACCTCTCTCAGAGCCTTTCTTCTCACCATTCTTGGGCTCTACCACTCGTCAAAGAATACCAGCTGCTCCAGAAGTGGCCTCACTGTTTCTCCTTGCTCTGCCTAAGTCCAAAGAATCTAAAAGAAGGGAACTGGGGTGGGGAGGGAAGGTGTTAAGAATGTCAGCACCACCACAGAATGCTCTGTGGCTGCGCCCCAAGCTTATCCCCTCAGTGGGTGCTTTGGGCCTGGGCAGTCACCTCCTCTCACTTTCATCAAAGGCCTGTGACCCAGTCAGATGGGATCTGGACAGATGCAGGATCTACCAGCTACTGCCTTCTCTCCTAGATGGGCAGGTGCATTTCTGACATTCCCCTGCGGAGATAACATATAGAGATGCAAGTCTGGCCTCTCATTACTCTAGGCCTTATTTTTTATCCAATTAGCCTTAAAAAAGAACATGAAGCAAGACCTTTAATTCTACTATTCAAACAAAACAATGAATTTTCAAGCTGTGGGTTAACTGATTTCATGTTTATTGAAGTGCATCAATGATAAAAGTTCAGGCACCCACCTCTGGCACCAGGCCCCATTCTGGGGTGATTATTCATACACAATTGACTTCCAAGATGTTCCCAGGGAGCTCCTTCCTGCTGAGGGCCACTAATGATTCAAAGGTAAGAAAGGTTTATTTTCTCAGAGCCCGTTAGAAGAACCAATCATTCACCCAACAGTACAACGTAGAGTGGAGACAGGAATTATGTCTCATTTACCATTGAAGAAAATAATGATAGTTCCCATTTAATAGACAAACATGCTTCAAACTCTATGCTGGATCATGCTCCTATATTGTCTCATTTCATCTTTTCACAGCCTGGGGAAAGAGAGTTGTAAAACAGCCTTTTACAAAAGAGGAAAACTGATTCAGGGGTTAGTAAGTAGCAAGGCTGGAATTCAAACCAAGAATCATCTGCAAGCAAAATCTTTCACAACAAACACAGACACTGAGGCTGTGCTCTGCACAAAAGACACAATAAGTAACTGGTAAATTGATTAAACGATAAGTGAATGAACAAAAAGCAAACTAATGATATGTCAGCTAATGATGTATCAGTGGTTCCTAGGATTCACAGAAAAGCTGAGGCTCATCATTGAGGATATCTGAGACAGTCCGGATGCCAAGACCCAGTCATGCCTCTTCCTGTATGGGCTCTGGGGCAATGGAGTGTACTGGACAGAAACTGCTACTCCCTCAGGGTTTCCCAGTTGCTTGAGCTCCTCTAGCCCCTCCTCCACCTCATGGGAAGGGGGTACTTTGGTGGACCATAACTACCTTGGTGGTCCTCACAGTTAATTTGAAAAGTGAGACAGGTCTAAAGATTCAGGCAGACCCAATAAAGGCTGACCTCTGACCTGTGTTGAGGAAAGCTCCCTCCATAGACTAATGGGGCAGCAATACTGGAGTGGAGAAGACATCCCAGCCCTTACCAGGGCCACCTGCCACCAAGCTCCAGAAGCCATCCCCTGGGAGGCTCCATGTTTTCCCTGCCTGGCAAATTATCCTTTTTCTTCTTTTTAAAAAAGCATTTAGGACTGGCAACCTGACCCTATGCAGTTCAGATTAGGACCCAGCTTTCCTATGCTGTCTGTTAGAGTGGCATCTCAGGTATAGCTTGGAGAGAAATTATGTGAAACTTTGGCCTCTTCTACACCAGTCTGGTTGGAGAAAGATTCCAGGAAAGGATTAAGGAGCTGGAATCATGGTATAGCACAGCAAAGGTGCACAACGTCTGCTAATGTTACAGCACATTAAACGAAGTTGTAAAATAGTAGCTTAAAGTTAGGCAGGCCAAACATAACACAAGAAGTATGAAAAGCAAGGTGCCATTTTCCCAACAAATAAGTTCATTATATGAATACCCAGCTTTAGTTGATTTAGTATCTTGGTATCCAATGTAGCTGCTGTGATTTTTTTTTTTTTTAGTAGCATCTTTAAAGAGCTCACACCAGTAATTATGATTCCAGCTTATTAATAATACCTATTTCTTATTGAATTCTTATTATATGCCAGGCAATCTACAAATATGATTTCTTATCCTGGCACTAGTTCTACAAGGTGGGAACTTGCCCCATTTTACTGAGGAGAAAACTGACATCCAAGGGTGTTAACAGACTTGGCCACAGCACTGGCTGACTTTAAAATGGGGGAATTATGGTCCCCGCCAGTTAAAACTATCCGATAAAAAAACAATTCACAAAAGCAAAACCCAGAGATTTCCGATCACATTTCCTCATTGAGATGGAGAAACAACTCAGGCTTCTTTGGGCAGCAAGGAAAATCCTTCTATCATCAGCTCTCCCGGGAGTGATGGGCGGTTATTTTTGAAAACGGAGGAGGGAAAAAGTACCTGCAGCCTGGATGGTTCTTTGCAAGCTTGAAAGAGAACTAAGCCATTGTGAGAGGCGGGAGAAAAGGAGGACGCGGTGAATACTCGCTCGGGGCTCATGTTTCCCCCGCAAACAAGCCAAACTGCAATAGAGATCAACAGCTGTATGCACCCCAAACTAGCAAGACACAATGGGGGCTTGGGGGAGGCAGACCACGCTGTCTCGGGACCAGCTGTGAAGGCGAAGACCTACTTGTAGGAGACAATCCCAGCGTGTGCAACCCAAGAGAGCTCCAGGAATTCGTAGGTGGAAGGGACAGGGAGATAATGCAGCGCAGTCCCAGCCCACTTCAATCACTCACAACCACAGACATACACACACCGACTTTCCTGGTTTAAACACACACCTCCCTGAGATCTAGCTTCAAAACAATAAGGGAGATACCAAGTGCGGAATGCACTTCAGGGGCTTTCCACCACCACCCGAGCCAGTGCCTAAAGGGGATGGGGGGCGGGGTGGGGAATTAAAAAGTAGAGCAGCGCCCAGGGGGTGCGGTCTGCAATCCACCCTTACCAGCTTCATGGTGGTGTTATTCTGTTCCCAGCGCCACAGCATCACGCTCATCTTACTTCAGGGCGAGCAAGGAAAGGGCAGAGGAAAACAGCGGAGGGGGAAAAAAATAATAATAATAAAGGAGCCGAAGCACCTGCCCGCGCGCCCGGCAGGTCGCGCCGTCCAGTCCTGGGTCTGCTCTCGGCTGCGGCCCCTCCGGGCATCCCCGGCGCCCGCGGCCGCCTCGCCCCCGCCTCTGGGGGGCTGCTGCGCGCGGGGACCCTACTCTGTAGCCCGGCGCCCGCGCTGCCCGGCTCTCGTGCCTCCCTCGCTCGCTCCTCGCCAGCCTCCCCGCCTCCGCCAAATCAAACAACTCCCCCGGCGTCCAAGCGCCCGCTCCTCGCAGCGCGGAGGCCGCTGGGGCCGCGGCGGCCGGGGCGAAGGGGGGGGTCGGAGGCCGGCGAGCTCCCCGCCCCCTCACTGGCCGGCGGGCCTCCCTCAGTGGCCCCCGGCGCTTCAGTGGGGCCGTTTGCCACTGCTGCGGGTTGGAGCGAAGAGGGAAAGATGGTCGGAGTTCGTAGGAGGATACTTAACTATTTCGGGGAGGGCTTGGGGAGTAGGGAGAGCCTTGGGCAGAAGAGGGGTAAGGGTGAGGCAGTGGGAAGGGGCTGCGGAGCGCAGTTCGTGGCTCCTGGGTCTCCACGGGTTCTTAGCCCACACACCAGCCAGCGCCTCACCACGCGCGCTCAACTCCATCCCCATTTTCTTTCTGCGCCTAACTCAAGTTGTCCGAGTCGCCTCCCCCTGGAGCAGCTGGAACTAGGGCTGCAGGATGGATGCATTTCTGACCCCCACAACTTTAACCGCCCCCCCCCCACCCCGCCACACACACACACCCTGCACCCTGCCCCAGCCACACGCTGCGTCCACAGCAACATTTATTTCCTGCCACGTGAAGGGCAGAGAGTTTGGGTATTTCCAAACACACCTGGTCTGGCCACTACTGGAGAAAGGACATTCAAGGCCCTCCGCAAAGGAGGAGGAGTCAGGCAGCGACAGAAGAGGCAGCCTGTGGCCTTTCTTTCCTCTTCTGCCCCCTCCACCTGCCACAGGCCCCCTGTGTCTTCCTTTGACGACTGGGGACCTTCCCACCTTCCTGCCCAACCCTTGTCCTGGGCCCAGCATCCTCTCATCTGGCAGTGACCTTCCAGGGGTCCCCAACTTTCAGATATCCTGAAAAGGCTCAAGAATCCTTCGGCTCCCAAGGCAAGATGGCACTAGCCACCCAGACCTCGGAGCTTGTTTCTGATTTGGGCAGCCATGACATCTTAGGATGGAAATCCTGGCTCCCCTGCGCAATTGGGAGAGAGCTGTAATGAAAACTCATGGACTGCCTTATATATTTATTTCTGCAGTCAAAACTGTTTATAATGAGGAAAGGTGATAATTTGGTCCTAATCTTTTTCATCCTAATCTTTAAAACATGCCAATTAGATCAACATGTCACCCTACCTAAACCTTTCAGGACTTGATTTCCTTTCAGAGTTTAAAAATCCCAACTTTCCTCTATGACCTGCAACCTGATCTCCCACCCTCTGTCCTTGGCTGGCTATGCTGCAGAACAGTGGCCCACTTTCTTCTTCTCAAACACATCCAAATCACTCCTACCTCAGGACCCTGCAGTGGTAGTTCCTCTCCCTGGAGCACTATTTCCCCCTGGACTTGCCCCTGGTCTCATGTCTAATGTCACCTCTTCATGGGGACTTTAGACTTCTGATGTCAGACCTTGTTCCCACACACTCTTCCACTCCATTACTGTTGTCTTGTCATTATTGTTTTGCTTACTAAGTTAACTTAGCTAACCTGTATTGTTGTTTCTTTTCTGCCTTGTCCCACTAGACTACAAATTTCAACAACCTTGTCTGTTTTGTTCCCCTACTGTTCCCCAGTGCTGGGAACAGGTGTGGCCCATAGTGGGGGCTCAGTAAATGTTACCCAAATGAAAGGCTGTTGATGATTGTCCTAGTGTATGTCCATGCAGCTTCTTCTACGCTAGCACTGAGCCAGACTCAGGCAGCAGATTCCATGTTCTGCCTCGGGCCTTAACTTAGATGAAATGACTACAAGAGGCCCTTCTATATACATCCCCACACATACTTCTGAAGAATGAAATGTGGCAGCAATATTTGCTGTCTCAAGGGAAGGGGCACAGGTTAGGACAACATATCAGAAAAGAGAGAGCATGTGTCATTTGAAAAAGCATATTCCATATTAAAATATATTTATATATTTGGAAAACAAATCCTAAAATAACATTTTTTTCCAAAAATAAAGCTTAACAAATCTTATTGGCTAAGAGAGCAAAACATAAGATATCTCTATCACAGCTTTTTAAAGCCAAGGGTTCTTTGGAGTTGAGTGGGTGGATGAAGAATCCAAAATCCTTCTGATTGTGTGAAAATGCTGCAAGATCAGGGATTTATACATTTTCTGGGAAAGCATCATTAGATTCATTGTGCTTTCCAGGATAGCCACAACATTTATGAAACTACACATCTGCAGAAAGTCATAGAATGAGCAATTAGTTTCCAATCTTTGCTGGAAAAAGGTGAAAAAAATACCATTCATGGTACAAGGAGAGATGAGGAGGTGTGGAGGGAGATACAGAAGGTACCTGCCTCAGCTTTAATTAAAGAGATGAAAGCCTGAGGCCTTTCCCTTCAGATCTCACACACTTCAGGGCATAGGTATTCTAGTTCATTTAGCAAACACTCCTTGAGTGTCTACCACGATGTATTTGCCCAGCTTTGTCCAGGGTGTTGAGAATTAGAGAGAATTCCTTGTCTGGGGGATGTGTGTGTGTCCTACCATGCACACACATAATCTAGTAAGAAAATGGCCACATATACCAACAGTTGCAATGTGATACAACAGGTACTACAAAAGAGGGCTGTGTAGTGTACACCTGGGTCATAAAGAAAAAAGCTGGCTAAGTGCAGTAGCTCACACCTGTAATCCGAACACTTTGGGAGGCCAAGGTGTGAGGATTGCTTGAGTCTAGGGGTTCAAGACCAGACTGAACAACATAGTGAGACCTTGTCTCTACATAAAATAAAATAAAAATTAGTCAGGTGTGATGTGCCTGCTTTAGTCCCAGCTACTTGGAAGGCTGAGGTGGGAGGATCATTTGTGCCCAGGAGTTTGAGGCTGCAGTGAGCTATGATGGTTCCACTGTACTACAGCCTGGGCAACAGAGCAAGACCCAAACTCTGGAAAAAGAAAAAAGAAAAGAACAATGCACAAGGCCAGGGAGCATGGAAGGACTTCACAGAGGTGATGCTGGCCTGCTTCTGGCAGGTTTGACAGGAAGAGAGAAGCATCTCAGGAAGGTGGAATCATGTGTGCAAGGGTGTAGAGGGGGGAAAGTTCATGGCAGATTCTCTGTGCTCACATCACATGGAGTTATTTGGTAGGCTGGGACAAGCAAGGTCCCTGTAAAGGAGTCTATCCTTAATTCTTATAAATCAAGGGAGTGAGTTGTCCAAATTCCCATTTTTGGAAGACCTTGTAACAGCAAGAGGATAGTTATAAAAAGGTAAAGGCTGGAGGGAGGGAGACCAGTTAGATGGCTGTTGAAATCATGCAGGAGATGGGAATGAGGACCCAAGCAAGAAAAGGTGAGTGGAAAAGACAAGTGACATTACCAGCATGATGCTACCAGTGGTTCCAAAGGGTAATGGATGTGAGTTCACAGTTAGGACGCTGTAGATTTGCAGAGACAGAAGTGGCTTCTTAAAACCTGCTCATCCACCAAACCTCTCCCACCACCCTTCTTCTCCTTCCTCTCACTTCCATAATCCCCCACCAAGACCTTTGACATGAAGCAGGGGAAAGACATCAGTCTGTGTTGACCACATGGAACAATGCTTGTGAAGGTCTGTCCTGAAGTGTGGTCTGTTACTCCCAGCCATTGGCCTCTTTTTTCAGCTCATGGCTTTCTGACCCATCCTCTGGGCCTAATAATTCAGTGTTGACCCTGGCAGGCAGTTCTTCATTGCCAGTTTAACCTATCTCCCTGAGCATGACCATTCTTGAACTGTCATGGTAGCCACGAGGGAGGACCCCAGCGTTCTGTTACTGTGAAGTCCCTGGTGGGGCTGACCCCTCAGAGTCTGGATCTGCCTTTCACCGAGTGTCCTCTGTTCCAGATCTTTCCCATCCTAGCTTCCAAGAGGCCTCTCCCATGCTCACTTACTCCTATTTCTGTCTCCCATGCTTCTCTGAATTTTCAGCACCTGCCCAACTATGGCAGCCACATGATAAAAATCTCCTGAATGAAAGTTGGACTGTCCATCTTGCTCATCAAGGCAGAATGAAGAGGGGAGATCAGGCCAGGAGGCAGAGTTGAGGCCTGGCATCCCAAAAGGTGCCACTGGTACTTCCCTGAGCAAGAGCTGCTCAGCAGTGGACCTTCTTTTCCTCACTAAGAAACTGATGATCTATAAAGTTGCTTCTCACTCCTAAATTCTGCAAGGCCAACCTCTGTCTGATAAACTAATTTGTGTCCAGCTGTTAATGGCTTAATGTGTTTCCCAGATAACGTATTTCAGTTTAACAGGGGTCTTCCACTCTTTCAGCCAAAGCGATGACTAATGGGAAAAAGCTCAGACATGGTAGGGGCCGGACAGGGGAACTTCAGACAAAGTAGGCTCTCTAGACTGCTTCCATGTATGATGTGGGCTGACGCCTCTCCACCCACGCATGAGGCAAGGCTGATGGGGGGGATGTCAGCTTTTACATGGTCTTAGAATGACAAAAGAAGGATAAGAAGCAGTGTGGCACCCCATGGAGAGAGGGAATGAGCTAGATAGCTTGTCAGAAAGAGCCCATTTCCCCACCCCCCCGCCCCGCCTAAAATAGCTGGGCTTGAATATAAAAATATCACAGAAGGGCTTCGCATTGCATGTCACATGAAAATCCTAGCCATAGTAGTGGCTATTTACTGAGCGTGAT